TTAAATTTCTGCCATGTGACCGAGATAACTGTGAGGATTGTTTAATCAGTGACATGAGACGCCATTTTTCTTTGACCCATCAGAATAAATGCGGTCATTTATTTAACAGAATCAAAATTTAACATCAAAACATGTACACATTGATTTGTTGATCTGTTTCTGATTAATAAAAACTTGGCACGCTTTACTATCAAGACAACAGAACATTTCTGAAGGCATCTAGATTGATTTACTGGCGAAGAGGTTTACAAGAGGAGAGATTTAGAGGTTTAAAGAGGAGGATTTAGATGGATGAAGGAAGATGGATGTTTTGTTGACCAGAATTAGCACGCTTCTTTCAACACGAGCTCAAACCCCCGGTACACTCGGTGCGTGACGACTCGTTACCTTTGCAGAAGATGAATCAGCTCCGGTACAGGGTCCATTTCAACGCTACCTTTCCAGCGTCTCCGGTTAAAGCGGCTGGTCATCGTCAGAAGTCGTGTGGTTTACTCCGTTAAACAGAACAAGCTTCCTTCGAAGTTGTAGGCGTTACGCCCGGGTGAGTTCACAGCGAGGCGCTGTGACTCCAGCTGGGATGGACGGACCCTCGTCTCACGGTCAAATCCATCAGCTATTGATTAAATCTGAAAGTTCCTTAGGAACTCTCAGGAAGACTCCGGTCAAAGACTGAAGAAGACTGAAGACCCGAGAAGACTCGAGAAGACTCAATAGTTCCAGGAAGTGTTGACTTTTAAAGAGTTCTCACTTCCGGTCACTTGTTACTTCCTGATTGGTTGAAACAACCAACAGGGGGTGGTTCTAGTGATGTCAGAGGGTTATTAAAAGTCAAGAGAGGATGCAGGAATGTTTAGGAACGATTAGTACAGACAGAGAAATGTTTTGAAGAAGTGAGAAGAAGCAGGTGCCAGTTGCTTCTTATTTACCGTCTGCTAGGTTTAAAAACAAGACACTTCGTTCTAACAACTGGTTTTCTGTCTGTCTCTGACTTTCGACCGACATCACTACTCCTCATTCAGACAGAAGATCAAAATGCATAATTACTTTGTAAATAGACATTTAACTTGATTTCTAATTTCTAATGAGGTTTAAAAATCATTAATACTGTTTCACAGTTGATTTAAAATGAGTGGTTCACTTCAACATTTAGAAATGGTATGAACTAAACACACTTTGATTATCAAAAAGAAGAGTGTTTTTTCAATTGATTAATTCAGGATACAATTAGAAAGTCTCTTGATGAGCTAATTTGTAATTCTGGATTCAAATCAATGAAATAACAGTTCCTGTCCCATGAGGGTCTTCAGAGACAGGTTGAGGTCGGAGGCTTAGTTCACTGCACAAGTAGTATGATGTACAATAGTATGATGTGACGCCACATAACTGGGAAACTTTGTCTTGTAGACCCTCCGAGTCAGAAGCAATACAGCACCACCACCAGCCAAGTCCAGAGTGGGCAGGTAGGATTACTCACTGACTGAATATTATTATTAATAGAATGAAGACTATGGTGGAACCAACTGAATCATCTAGCATCTCGATGCTAGATGATTCAGTTGGTTCCATCTTTGCTATTGAAAAATTTGTAGTAGTTGGATGAGGATGATAAAAAAAAACAAATGTATGTTTAAACGAAGATGTTTAACAACTCATTAAAATACACCGGAATGCAGGAAATGGCATCTACTTTGGTCAAAATTTTATGGGGAGAACCCCCAGACTCCCCTAACATTACAAACTCTTCTGATGTCAGTGAAATAATCATTCATAAAAGCATTTTAAATTCAGAAAAACAGAGAAGTTAACGTTTTCTAAAGCTCAGAATGAATGTCACAGCTACTCCAACATGCAGCCACCTTGAGTGGTTCAGTTCTAGAACTCACAGCAGAAAATGACGTTCTGTTGTAAAGAACAGTGTTGGAGTTGTCTTTTAACTGATGTTCTCATATTTGTGGAATCTATAAGTTGTGATGGAACTGTTTCCTTGCAGAGGAAAAAAGACGATAGAAAGTGCAGCACCTTTTTTTTTTTATTTAATTTGTATTCTTTTGTTTAATTTTAAGGTTTGAATATGTGAACAGTTATTTGAACAGAATATAGATTATGATGTTTTGATGGATGTTTTGTAGAGAACCATGTTGGAGATGTGCTCGTGTTGAAATAAATGACATGATTTTTAATAATAATAGGTCTTGATCTGAAGTGGGCCGGTCTGGGGCATGAAACTCAGGGCTGAGAAGAGTCCCACTCCGGCCCTGCTCTTGGAAATGCTCCTTACACACCTTTGGGAAGTTTTGTCACAAAACTTCAGACACAGTAAGTATGGAGTCTTACCAAAACACCAGGTAAAGTTCGGAGTCCTGACTTCGGACTGCTGTGGTCACATTAAAAACTGCGCCGTGTTTCTGACAGCTGTAGATCTGCGCGCTCCCGCCGCCCCTCTTTTCTCTGGGACTTGTAGTTTTAAAGTCTGAGAACAGCGCCGCGCGGTTGAGGTCTTGGCGGGAGGAAAACTACAGTTCCCTCCGAGCCCCCCGGAGCTGTTAGTTGTCAATATGGCTGTTGTCAGACAGACAAAGCGGAGAGGCAAATAATTCGCCTCTGATTAGAAATCCTTGGGAAAGGGTCGCGAGGGGCACCGACTGTCATCGAAGCGCGTCGCGTCGCCCCGGCTGCAGCGGACACACGGCTGCTCTTCGCTTCACTTTCAAAGTTAAATGTTGAGCTGGACGGTCTGAGCCGAGGTGAGTTACATTCCTACAACACGGAAAGTGTCGTTATTAATATGAAACGGTGTTAGCCAGCGCGCGGCGGCTAACGGCAGCTAGTGTCAGCGGTATGCTAATCTCTCCGGAGCCTCGCTGAGACCGACATATCCCGGGTTAAGTTGCTAACCCGAACTGTGTGACGCCAGCGGACTGCCAGGATAAATTCACCAGCTGGGATGGACCCAGCGGTTCCGAGTCAGAGACTCGTTATTAATGTTGGGCGTCTTCTGACACAACATGATCTGCTAACGTTAGCTTTGGGCAAAGGGCGTGAGAGCTGGCATCACCCGCCGGGTAGGGACACCCTGGACCCCGGTCCGGTTCCACGACCCGGACCGTGCGCTGATGCGCATGACGTGCATGTTCAGGTGAAACACCGTGCACTTCTTCAGTTTGCTCTTAAAGCAGCTGCTGAGGATGAAACATCTGCAGCTTCTCAAGGTTCCGCCTGCTCCGGTGCTGCAGTGCATGTCGCCCGCCTCAGGCCACAACTTCTGCTGTCTGACTCTCAGCTACTACCACTCAGCAGCACCTGAAGGCAGCACCGGTGTAGCACCGCGTAGCCTTTTATCAGCAGCACCTGAAGGCAGCACCGGTGTAGCACCGCGTAGCCTTTTAGTGCTGAGTGATTAGCTGCGGCGGCCATATTGAATTCAAAAGTTTCTCATTTGAAGTGGTAAATGTAATTAATTAAAATCCATTCAGAGGTTCGTAGATTATTTTGCTAACAGACACTTGGCTTCAAATATGTAAATGGACTGTACTTATATAGCGCCTTTCTATCTTATTTCAAGATACTCAAAGCGCTTTACACTACAATCTGTGTCATTTACCAATTCATACAGCACTCTACTAGATCTCTACATAGCTAATTGAACAAATCATTCTAAAGAGACTAATCAGAGCTTTATCACATTCATACACTGATGGGACACACATTAGAGGCAATGAGGGGTTCAGTGTCTTGCCCAGGGACACTTCAGCATGTGACTGCTGTTGGATTCAAATACCCAACTCTCGCATTGGAGGACGACTGCTCTAACCACTCAGCCACAGATGCCTGTGATGACAACATTTTAACCTGTCAATGCTCATAATATGTTTTTGGATCAGCCTTGGCTACTACCACAACACAACCAAGATCCGGCTTTTTGGAGGGTTTATAAAGTCTCTTGGCTGCAGTGGCCATCTTGAACCCGGCTGACTCCAGACACTTCACCTTTAGGCGCCAGGCGATAACCAGCTTGGGTCAAAGTGAATAGTTAACTTGGTTAATAGTCAAGCTGAATGAATAATCATTTGAGAGGCTGTTTCCAGGACATCCTGTACATTTACACACCGAGCAGTTTGGGTTCTCCAACATGTAATAAGTGCTTGCTTGATATTTTCTTACCACAGCCTGGAGGACTAGTTAATGTTCCGCAGTGCCTCTGAGCTGCACAATGACTGTTTTCCAGTGAATTTAATGTGCATGTGTCTGAAAGGCTGCCAGTGATACCTCCTTCTTTTAACACCAGTCCTCCTCCGCCTCAGTGTTATTATCTAGTTTCCTTCAGGAGAACTTTAAATGCTGCACCAAACTCCTAGAGGCCTTCTATCCCCCCGTCTTTCACACATTTTAGAGTAACGCAGATGTAGCAGAGATGCCAGTGACCCCTTTTAAAGCGTTTATCATATCAGCATAGGTTGGGCTGCACACACAAAATGGAAAATCTGCCGCAGTCTGATTCCAGCGGCATTGATTTCGAGCAGAGCAAATTGCTTATGAGAACTGCGGAGCGTGGGTGGCGTGCAGAGCGGGGATTATAGTCGCTCTTAAAGAACAGTCAGAATGTGAAGATAGCATCAGCTGTCAAGGTGACTCTGGCACTCTGCGCGTGGTGCCTGCTGCTGCCCAAAAATAGCAGATTATTTTATGTCCTGCCCCTCTTTCCTTTTTTCTTTCACACGTCTTGCACTCGTCTTTCTTTTCTAACAGCTCAATCTTTTTTCCTATACTTTCGCTTCTTCCTTCATCTTCCTTGTTTTTTTATATTCTCATGTAGCAGTGTCCCATCTTGATCATTTTCTCTGTGCCTCCATTTATTTCTGACTTTTCTTAGGTTTGCATCCTGCTTCTCCAAACTTCTCCCCCTGCATTTCCTGTTTGCCTCTTCTCGCTCTGAGCTTGTCTGTCGTGTGTGCGTGTGTGTGTTGTCTGTTGTGTGTGCGTGTGTTTCGCCTGGCATCAGGATGTCTGACTTCAGCGAGGAGCCGCGCTTCACCATCGAGCAGATAGATCTGCTGCAGCGGCTGCGGCGCACCGGCATGACCAAGCAGGAGATCCTGCATGCTCTCGACACGCTGGACCGGCTGGACCGGGAGCACGGTGACAAGTTCGGCCGCCGCACCTCCTCGTCCTCCTACCTCGTAGGCGGGGTCAACAGCTGCACCAACAACTCCACCGCCACGTTCAACAGTAATGTCACTGCCTCTGCAACCGCCACCTCTTCCGCGTCATGCAACGGTAGCAACAGCGGCGAGGGCAGCGGTGTCGACCACTCCGCCACCGCTTCCTCCACGACCTCCAAAGTCTCCACAGCCACGCAGACGCAGTTCAGCACTGGCGGGGGGCATTCACCGTCCCCCAGCAACAGCTACGATACCTCTCCACCTCCAGGGCCGCCGCCACCCTCTGCCATCTTGCCTTCACCGGTGTCCCTGGTGGCGCTGTCTCAGAATGGCCGTGACAGTCTAGCTGCTACACCCAACGGGAAGCTGTCTCCACCACGGTATCCTGTGAACAGCGCAGCGGCGTCCCGAGCGTTCGGGTTTGAAGCTGCAGAAGAAGACCTGGACATTGACGATAAGGTGGAGGAGCTGATGAGGTGAGTAGCAGCGGACTTGAAGCTATCTACATTTTGTTAGTGACAAACTTTTGTTCTGCTCTCAGAGCTTGTCAGAACATTAGTTTTAGTCATTTGGCAGCATTTTCTCCCATTAATGTCATAAATGTTCTCAACTGGTTTCAAAGCCGTCGCTCACTTTGGGCGTGCAGGGCTTTATGTATCTGAAGCTCTGTCGAAGGCATTAAAGGTGCTTCTCAGAGTAACCTTGGAGCTTTTTTCTGCTGAGCGTTGTCTGAGACGGTGAATGTCTTTGAGTTGGCGGGTTGTGTTTATTGGCGCTAATGTTCTTAATGAACGGTGTCGGGGCTGAAAACTGGAACTGAAGCAGCTGCTCATGTTTTAAAGTTTATTCTTAACCTCTGAAATAAATGTTAACAGAAAATGTCCTCAAAACTAGTTTAAAACAACGAAGGATGAACATTTTCTTTCAGTGTGAGCAGAAGTTTTCCAGCAGAGTGGTTAAATGTGGAACTGGTTTATTTAGCTCATCTTTGAGTCGGACACAGAACCTCACGCCTGGACTCCTGGAAGTTCTGAGGAACTTGGACAGCCACGTTGTGGTCCTCCTGGTTGAACGTTTTCTTTCATTTCTGGATGCAAGATAGAAGCTGTTTGGTGTTGGATGTGAAGTGACATGTCAGAATTAAAATGATAAAGGTGACTTGTTACCTTCTGGGCATGAACACTGTAGAGCTAGCAGCATTGCTGACGAAAGCAATTAAAAAAAAAAATCCTTGTTTTTGCTGAATCTATGCATCTTATTTCATTGTCATACGCACGTCAAGTCTTAGGATGTTTCTATAAATATACAGGTTTTTCATGACTACAGAAGTGCAGAGAAAGTCTTACAGGTTTTTAAAAACTCAACTTCAAATTATTGTACGTCTCAGAGTCGGCCCATAAGGCCATCCTCCCCATCCTTGTCCCCTTCCCCACTACTTGGACTGTACCTGCTCCGCCCCTACTCCCCTCACTGCTTTGGTGCTCGAACAACATGTAAACAACATGTAAAAAACATGTAAACAACATGTAAACAAGCAAAGCTGTCGTGTCCAGTTAAGGAGGAAAAGACGAGTGGAGGGAACATGCAGCACAGACAGATGGACAGGAAAAAAGGTCCAAGGATTTCTCTGCTGCAGAAATAATTTGGTTTGCTGATCAATAAAGAGTTTTTGCGGTTTTCACACCAGCTGGTTCTGCAGCAGCCTGAGCTGTGATGAGAATGAGTCCTGTGCACGCACTGGTACCAAGACTTGTTGTTTACATTCACATATGAAATGACATAGTTTTATATTTTATCTTTAGAAACCAGGTTGTCCAAATAAAACAGTCAAGAATATTATTTTGAATTTGAATCAGCTGACAGGGTGGCATGGTGGATGAGATGTTGCATCTCAGCAAGAATGTTGCCGGTTCAAGTCCAGGCCAGGGGCCTTTCTGGGTGGAGTTTGCATGTTCTCTCCATGCGTGGGTTTCCTCCCACAGACCAGAAACATGCATGTTAGACTGATTGGTAAATTGGTAACTCTAAATTATCTCTAGGTGTGAGAGAGAGAGTGACTGGTTGTTTGTCTCGTTTGTTTCTATGAGTCCCTGTGATTGACTGGAGACCTGTCCAGGTGTCCCTGCCTCTCGCACAGTGACCCCCATGACCAGAAAAGGAAGAAGCAAGTAAAGATGATGAATGGATGGATAGATGGATGCATGCATGGATAGATGGATGCATGCATGGATAGATGGATGGATGCATGGATGGATGTATTTTCCAACCATTTGAAGATCGTTTTACTAAATTCTTAAGATGAATAAAAAAACTAAATCAGTATATGGAAGGTAGCTCACTGACAGCTGGTCTTTAAGCTGAACTCTTATTTCTGTTCATATTGAGCTCCTCGAGCTCGTCTTCAACATATTGTACTTTTATCACATCATACTTTTATCACAACATACCCTCTGTACTGTGTAACTTCATGTAGTAACAAAACAGGCTATTCTGAGAAGTTTCCTTCATAATCATTAGGGGTGCACCGATTTATCGTCCTCGATTTCCCTAAATTAGGGAAATCGGAAATCAGCTAATACTGATGCATGAGAAACCAATTTAAAAAAAAAAAAATTTTTTTAGTTTTAACAATTGTTTGAACTGCATTTATACTTCAGAGCACTACTTCATGGCCATTTAAAACAAATTTGCATTGTTTCTAGGATATTGTTCAAGGGTATGTTTTTCAATAAAATAATATTAGAAAATTTAAGGTACATTGTGACCTTATAACACTTGATAGTGTCGCTTATAAAACAAAATCGGTATCGGACAAAATCGGAATCGGCAGGTCAGACTTTTTAGAAATCAGTGATAGGCCAGAAAACTGCAATCGGTGCACCCCTATCACGAGTAACCAGTGACTGTTCTATTCAATTCAGTTCAATTCAGTTTATTTATACAGTGCCAAATCACAACAAAGTTGTCTCAGAGCACTTTACAGGAACATTCACATACATAGAAAAGCCAATTAGTAAAGTTCTCTATCAAACAACTGTAACAGATAAAACAGTATAAAACCTTTAAAGTACAATTTACTTGTTAAATACTTCTGTTGTGACTTGGCACAATATAAATAAACAGAACTGAAATTGAATGGAAAATACAAGTGTAACTGTCCTTACCAAGGAAAAACAAAAGATGATAGAAAAGTTATGTATCTAATTGTATTACTAAATAAAATACTACTTCCTAATAACGGAATTGTGAAGTCCTCTTACATCCCACAGTGTACACACGTACACACCCACAGCACAAAAAACATGTATACCTGTGTATGTTGTCAGTGTGATGTGACAGGAATTATTCATAGACAGGATTAATGAGATTAACTGAGAACAAGATGTCTGCTGATACTATTTTCATAAAAAAAATACTTGAATCATCACATCATAATTTTCACACATCAAGTACGCACAGAAATAGAAAATACAACTTCATCTATAGACCCACTTTTACTACACATAACACATGTGCTGAAGTTATGAGTTGTGACTTTACTCGGTGTGTTTCTTTATATTTAATTATATGAAGGTTAATGCACAGAGTTAACTTGTCTTCTGTGTTTGCAATGAACACAACCAAAGTCCAATAAACCCATCAGGCATCATTACAGCAGATGTAACAACGACATCTACGAGCTGCATTTAACATCTTCATTTAATGACATTTTTATTCTAATTTCATCTGAGAACTTCTTCTACTTCTTTTGGCTTTTCCCTCTTCAGGGGTCTCCACAGTGAGTCATCCTCCTCCATCTCACTCTGTCCTCACTCCAACTACCTCATGTCCTCTCTAACTGCATCCATATATCTCCTCTTTGTTTTTTCCTGGCAGCTGCATTTCTAACATCCTTCTACCAATATACTAACTGTCCCTCCTCTGGACATGTCCAAACCATTGTCCCTCCTCTGGACATGTCTAAACCACTATCCCTCCTCTGGACATGTCCAAACCACTGTCCTTCTTCTGGACATGTCTGAACCACTGTCCCTCCTCTCGACATGTCCAAAACACTGTCCCTCTTCTGGACATGTCTGAACCACTGTCCCTCTTCTGGACATGTCCAAACCATCTCAGTCTGGCCTCTCTAACTTTATCGCCCAGTTGTTCAACCTGTGCTGTACCTCTGATGATCTCATTCCTAATCTTATCCATCCTTGTCACTCCTTGTTCCACAAATTGCTTAAAAATATAGTTTCCTCTAAAGATCAGGGGGTAAAGATTAATCTATGGTGGTCAAGACCACCATTGGCCAACCCCTGGCTCCATCATTACACCTGGTGGTGGATAAAATTGCTGGACCAGGATCCATCACTGTACCTTGTTCAGCGTATTGTTTTTGTATTATTAGTGCTTAGTGTATTCTTAGTTTTGCGTATTTCTTAGTTCGTATCTTAGATCTTATTACCGTTTTTCTTTTACAATTTATACTTTTATTGGATGTAACTGGGACCTTGAGTACACAATTTTGTTCCACCACATGTACCACATGTGATGCGAATGACAATAAAGAACCTTGACCATGACCTTGACAAGAAAAAAACAACAATTCATTTAGTTTATTTATATAGCACCAAGTCACAATAGGGGTGTAACAGTACGCTAAAATCGCATTTTGGTTCAGTTCAGTTTCAAGGAGGGCTCGGTTCTGTTAATTTTCGGTACAAAAAAAGACAAAAAAAAAAAAACCTTACAAAATGTTTATTTTGAAAATATGCCAAGTAAACAAGTTCAGTGATTACAGACGTCTTAGCTGGAGGTGATCTGGTGGATGAAGAAGACTTAGCTGTTATCATCCTCAGACTGCAAACAACACAGAAATAAAAAAAAAAAGAGTTAAGATTATAATTTTAAATTTAAAAATTTTATTAGATCACAATAATACAATAACAATGCCTCTTCTTTCACGGTCATCATATGAGGTGGTTGAATTTCTCACTCATCATCATCAGGGCAGGGCTTTAAATCTGGGGTCAGGCTTGTTGACTATCAGTTTTAGCTTTTTCATAAAGTGCTGTTACAACTTTTTGGCTGAAGTGTTGACATGATGGGATATCTTAGTGGGGCTCAATAACAAAGTCACAACAGAAGTCATCTTAGGGCACTGACCAGAAACATTCATATATATAAAATAATAATTTAACATTATTTATCTGAGGAGCAGACTGCTTTGAGTTTAATTCCATCACAGAACTCTCATCTTGAGCAAGCATGAAGGCGACAGTGGAAAGTAAAAACTCCCTCATGAGGAAGAAATCTTTAGCAGAACCAGGCTCAGGACAAGCGACCATCTGCTTCAACTTGCTGGGTTTGAGAGGAACAGATACACAATGGCAGGTCAAGAATCAAAGTCACAGTTTCTTTATTTGTCATTCCGTCACATGTGGTACATGAGGTGGAACAAAATTGTGTACTCAAGGTCCCAATTACATCC